AAGGTTCCCCCAGATGCTGGTGGTCACCCCTGATAAACTTGTAGGTGGCCATCAGATCACCCCTGAGCCTGCGCTTTTTCAGGCTAAAGAGCCCCAGGGCTCTCAGCCTGTCATCGTAGGGTCTGCTTCCCTGACCTCTGATCATGCGCGTGGCTCTTCTCTGGACTCTCTCAAGCTGGAGTACTGCGTGCAATTCTGGGCACCACCCTTCAAGAGGGATGCAGATAACCTGGAGAGGGTCCAGAGAAGGGCCACTCGTATGGTTAAGGGCTTGCAGACCAAGCCCTACGAGGAGAGACTAGAGGAACTGGACCTTTTCAGCCTCTGCAAGAGAAGGTTGAGAGGCGACCTTGTGGCTGCCTATAAGTTTATCACGGGGGCACAGAAGGGAATTGGTGAGGATTTATTCACCAAGGCGCCCCCAGGGGTTACAAGAAATAATGGCCACAAGCTAGTAGAGAGCAGATTTAGACTAGACATTAGGAAGAACTTCACAATTAGAGTGGCCAAGGTCTGGAACGGGCTCCCAAGGGAGGTGGTGCTCTCCCCTACCCTGGGGGTCTTCAAGAGGAGGTTGGATATGCATCTAGCTGGGGTCATCTAGACCCAGCATTCTTTCCTGCCTATGCAGGGGGTCGGACTTGATGATCTATTGAGGTCCCTTCCGACCCTAACATCTATGAATCTATGAACAAATACAGTCTGGATGACCTGCAGAAAACAACCCAGTAGTCATCATGGACTATAAACTGAATATGAGCCAACAGTGTGTTCTTGTTGCAAAAAAAAGCCAGTAGCATTCTGGGCGCTGTTAACAGGATCATCACTAGTAAATAAAGAGAAGTGATTTTCCTGCTGTATTTAGCACTTCAAGAAAAATGTGGACAAAGTCCAATATACAGGAACAAGCATAAGCATGGGCCTGGAAAATGTGACTTCTGAGAGCAAGCTGAAAAAAAATAAGATTATTTAGTTTGGAGAAGAAATGACTGAGTGGGGATTTGATAACTGTCTTCAAATACCTAAATGGCGGCTATATGGAGGATGGAGATAGACTGTTTTCAGTGGTAGGGTGCAGTGTACCAGATGAAGAGCAACAGTTTTAAATTGCAGAAAGAGAAATGTATGTTGAATATTAGGAAGTACTTTCTCACTGCAAGGGTGGTTAAATATTCGAATAGACTACCCAGAGAGGAATCTCCATCCTTGGACATTTTTGAGTGCAGCTTAGACAAACGCTTGACTGAGAGGGTTTAGTCAGGCATGCTCCTGCCTTGAGTTGGGGTTTGAACTAGATGACCTCCTCCTGTACATCCCTTCCAACCCTATTATGATTCTGTGATTAAAAAAGCTATCAAACATCTAGTCAGTGTTAGAGTCAGAATAAGTAGAGATGGAGCCCTAGGCAAACCCTGTGGGAGAGCAGGGGGTATGCACATGTTCTGAGAGGTAGGCGGTGCCCTGACAACAATAGCAGCCCCATGGTTTACACATACTGGGAGCTCCAAATCAGTCCCTAACTGAGCTGCAGCTGCCATTGCCATGTGCTGTGCCCACCCTGGCTGTTTCTCTTAAAGCAGCAGCAGCCACCAGCAATTGTTTTGGAGTTCCTGGCATGGGTGAGCCATGGGGCTGCTCTTGCTGCCAGGACATGGACTCCAGGTGGGTGGGAGGCAATTCAGGTGCCCATCCTAGCTTAGCATCTAGGGTGGGTGGCCCTTTAGCCCACTCCTAGTTATGCTACTGACCAGGGTTGAGTTGAATAGATCAATAGGAGGCAGAAACTTCTTTGTTAACTTTAACCTAAGGAGGTCATGACATTTATCTGTTTGTTTGTTTGTTTGTTTGTGTACATAATTTTTCATTAATGACATATGGGACTAAAAGTAATTAGTAGAAATGATACATTTGGGAATTTTAGAAGAACAAAATGGAAAGACAAGACAATAGGATTGTGTGGTTACATCAAGTGGTGGCTGCTTCTTGGAACAATTGTCAATCATGTATCTAGTGTTAGTGAAATTTTTTCTTAATTCTTTCTGGTCAAAGTGTATTGACCATGACTACTTCCCTAATCAACTTTACTATGGATAAGGAGGGATTTTCACATATCAATCAAAAGTTATACTTTTAATCAGTTTACGATTGACTTTCACACACTTCAGAGAGGTTTGTTCCAATCCTCTTTGGCCAGAAGGGTGTCTGTGAGGCATAGATGTGAAGAGATTTTGGTAGAAGCAATAAGATCAGGAGAAAGAAAGCGCCAAAGGTAGAAGGAATACAGATTAACACCTGGGACAGGTGGTTGTAAATTATATTATGGAAGAAGAATGAATAGATTTATTTAAGAAAGGAAGTTTAAAAAAAAGAAATGTGTGAAATCTAAGTGACTTAAAATATCAAAAGTTTCTTAAAAACAGACTCCATGACTTTGCATGAAAATCTTGACTTTCCTCTCCCAAGATTAGATAAGGTGGCACAGCGATAGCCATTCAACCATTTTTATGGCTGCCAGGGTGTGGTGTCCACTGCTTCTCCACAGGGAACGTTCCACTAGTTAAGGTCCTAACAGTTTCCTTTATCAAGTAGAGAGTCTATAGCCATCTCCTTTTTTATCCAGCCATGTTCGTTGTTGCTGACAGAAAGAGGATTAGTACAAGAGAATTCACCTAAATAAGAGAAATCTGTTGGCGGCCAAACCCCTTGGCTTTAAAGCCACTTTCCTCCAATACAGCAAAGCCCAAGACCTGGTCCAGTATGTTTCTGATTAGAGCAGACCTGATTCTTTTTCTTTTTCTTTTACAGATTCTTCATTTACTCTTAGTTTAGCTGCAGTGAGGCTGAGGGTTGCACAAGTAAAAAGCCAATGCAGGCAGAGCCTACAATTGTTGATCAGTCATTTTATAATTAATCTTTACAGTTAATTTCATTTGCAATTTTTTACAATATTTTCATTAAACTGTTTTTCTTTATTTAAAAAGAACCTGATATTGCAATTTATCTTCACTATCTATTCTTTATCTTTCTAGTGTTTATATCTGTCAGTGAACTAACCACATAGATACCACTATGTGTATTCCAGAGAAAGTGGAATGTATCAGCAGCTGACAAAACAAAATAATAGCCTGATGCTGAAAGGGAAACGTTCCCTCTCCACATCAGTATAATATGCAAATGGTAGCTGAAAGTTCAATTTAAACAGGTCAGATAATACACCTGGTGGACTAGATTCATCTCTTGTATAGGTATATAGACTTTTGCAGTGGTATAACAGAAATTAATTGTCTCCTGGGATTTGTATGTATGCATTTTCATAAAACCGTTTGGTCTTTGTTAAGCTGGACTGTCACTGTATTAATATAATATTAATTTACAGACATAAATATGTAATATAGATAAAATTTTGCAAAAAGTGGGGAAGAACAGGTTAGAGTTATTTTAATTTAGGTATACCATTTAATGATTTTAAAACTAGTGTTTTGTTTACCTGAGAATATACTATAAATGCATAGAGTACAATGAATATATGAATGCACGTTCAGTAGCTGGACCCAGAGGGACAGACTTCCATCTTCAGCTCCCTCTATGCAAAAATGAAGTTTATTTCCTACCTATGGGAACTTTTTACCATCTTGTACCATCTACACTCTTCCCAGAGCCTGACGAAGGGACGTAGATCCTGAAAGCTTGCAGAAAAGGAGAGTTTTCTTGCCATTTTCCAGTTTGGAACCAAGAGTTCTAGCTTTTTGTATGTCATTCAGTAGCTGTAGCAGTTGCTGTGATACCGTGCAAGTAAAGCTGGTTTCTATAGTGTGTATATTCACGTCAGATTCTTTACTTCTCAGACTGCAGCATTGCAGGTAGAAGAAAAAGACACAAAACAGCTGAAGGAAGTAGTGAGAAGTGAACGTGAAAATATAATGTCTCTTGAGAAAAAAGAACTGCAAAAGAGAGAACCACAAAAAGGAGAATCTCAAAAGGGGCTCATAAGCAAGAAACTGAAGAAGACTCCTAGTGAGAAGGTAGAGTTTTTATTATTGTAATCCAACAAATTCTCTGTAAACATTGGATTGTCATGTCCAGTTCTTTGATACCAGTCTACGGACCAAACAGAATGATTGTCTATTTAAGCTTTCAGCTGCTATAATAATAACATTTTGCGTTTTGGTGGCCACTTTCATCCAAGGATCTCTCAATACTTTAAATACAAAGGGTGCTTGTACATGCGACAAAATTGGCCTTTAAAGCGCCTCAATTGCCCTTTTGCACCGCTTTAATGGCATTGCTATTTACACGTTTGGTGGCATATTCCGCTTTAATTTTATAACAATGTACACGTTTGGTGGCGTATTTCTCTTTAAATGACTTTGTTATGTAGAAAGGAGAAACCCATCCAAGGTATTTTAGTTTGCTACGTAACAAAGTGCAACAGTGCACAGAGCACTATAAGCCATCGTGCTCAGGGAAGCTCAGGCTTAGCCGACTTTCAGTGCCCATGCACTGTCCCTGCCAACTTCTCCCACTGCTAGCACACAAGCCACCTTTCTGCCACCTTGCTGCTCTGCCCCAGGGGCAAGCCAGCTTGTTCCCAGGCAGGCCCAAGCAGCAGGAAGGCGGTGGGAATGGTGTTGTAGCCTACCTGCCTTTCTTGTGGTGGGGGCAACAAGCTGCTGTTGGGCCAAGTGGTCCTGGAGCTGCAAGGAACCGGGTCCTTCCCTCCATGGCAGCGGCACCCCCAGACAGTACTCACTCGCTAGCACCCAGCCCGGGTGGTCCCAGGGGGTACCACTACCCCAGAGGGTACCAAACCCTGTGCAGCTCAGGGGCTGTGCGACCCGGTGGCATCTTGTGCACGCAGCCTTCACTGGGGGGGGGCGGGAGTGTGGCAAGGGGCCTGATCTTTTTTCTTTTTTTTTTCTCCCAGAGCCTGCCTGCCTGTCTGAGCTGCACAGAGCCCGGTGCTTCCCTCCATAGCTGCAGCATCCCCCGGGACCACCCGGGTGGACTGCTAGTGGGTGGGTGGTGCCCAGGGGGCGCCACTGCCACAGAGTGAAGCACCGGGCCCTGCACAGCTCAGGCGGACAGGCAGGCTTTGGGAGGAAAAATATATATATATATATCTCAGGCTCCTCACCACTTTTTTTTTATTCCTCAGTGGAGCCTGCCTGCACAAGCTGCTGCCAGGTCACACAGCCCTTGCGCTGCACGGGGCTCGGTGCTCTCCTCCACAGTAGCAGCGTCCTTCAGGACCACCTAGGCTGGGTTCTAGTGGACTGGTGCCACCTGGGGGGCACCACCGCCACAGAGGGAAGGACCAGGATCCCCCACAGCTCAGGGACCACTCAGCCCACTGGCAGCTCATTCCACCACTGCAGAAGAGGCAGATAGGCTGCGGGGGGGAATGGATCTGGCCCCTCACCATTTCTTTTTTTTTCTGGTGGAGCCTGGGGGAGGCAAAAGTGGGGAGGTGAGTGAGCTTATGGGGGAGCTGTGACACCCTGTGACACTACGTGACATCACAGAAGTCCCTAAATTGAATCAGTGGGTTTTTAAACAACACAATTAAGAACTCACCTTTTAAATACACATTGTTTCAGCTTAGGAAGAACTAAACCCCGTTGCATGTACAAGCACCCAAAGTCTACAATATACCTCTAAGAGAAGTATTATGATCCCTATTTTACAGATGGAAAAAATGAAACAGAGTGAATTTAAGAATCCAGCTCACACAGAATCAGTAGTAGAGTTAAGAATCATTAAGTCAGTTCTGTACTCTATTACTAGACCATACATTTGTGACTGGACAACACCATCCTTCCCCTGAAGAATTTAAGATTTTGGGTCTTGATCTTTCTTCCTTTCAAGGCAATAGGTACTTTACCATTTTGATATCAGTGGAATCAGAATCTGGCAAATATGACACATTGACGATGCGGATCCCTCACAGTCAAGGATGATCAATAAATATGACATATAGGATAAGATTAAAATATTCTTGTTTGTTCTGTGATCTCTATTATACAGTACAGGCCACCAAACAGCTGTCAAACATTAATTATTCTTGGGTACTCCAGACCAGGGATAACTCTGAACTACTGACTTACAGAGTTAGAAGATTTTGTATCTTGCAACTAATTTCTTGAAACACTTTATTTTCTGACCCTAACAACCAAAAATAGAGAGAGGTAGTTATCTATGTGAGCCCAAAGTTATAGACACAGTCTATAAGGTGTCTGTAGATATTTAGGGTCTATAAGGTGCCACACTGCCCTGCCTTCTGCCTAACCAAAAATAGGAAAACTGATACCAAGAACAAAATTTTATACTTGTTTTTTTCATATTATACATACAAAATGAATAATACTTTCATTTATTTTTTGTAACATTGAAAAGATAGTTGAAAAGGAAGATGAAAAGAGAGCATTGCTTGCTGAAATTGAGAAGCTGAGAAAGTCTGAAGGTCGAGAGAGGCAACACATAGAAAGGTATTGGTCAGAACTTTTCAGACATACTCATTTAGGAATTCTGCACATATTTTAACTTTTTTTCCTTTTATTTTCTTTCTCTTTCTCTCCTTTTGCATTTCAGTCTTAAAAAGGAAGTTGAACATGTCAACCGAAGTTGGGCAAAGAAATTTGAAATTCTAAAGAAAAGGTATAGTATTACAGCATTGATCATATTAATAAAATAGTTCTTAATTTTGCCTACACTGTAAGTTAAAAAATAAAGGTATATCTATTTCACGTATAGCAAATTATTATTTAATATGCTTACCCAAACATTTGCCTTGCATGGAGTGGTCTTGAAATGAACAGAATCTGAATAAAAAGAAATAAGTAACTGCTTGGATAGCATAATGCTGACCTGGTTGTAATTTGCCAGCCCTCTTTACAGACAGGCAAATTTTTATGATGAGTTTAATATTAATCAAGACAGTTGAGGAAACATGGAGATATAATAATAATAATAATAATAATCTGTTTCTAAAATCATTGTCATTAAGATATGCTTTATTTACCACTGTCTACCATATTACATTATTAAGGATATTACAGGATCTTAAGTTATATTTCTGTTTCTCTTTGGTGCCCAGATGGCATTTTTCTGGCCACAAGTGTTTTTGGCACCTATGCACAAGTTGAAATTCTGTTAACCCTGTGATGTTGGTATGTAAACATGCCCACATACTCTGATCATGCACAATAAGTTACACACTGGCAAGGTGTGTATATGGACCCATTGTGGATGCACATGTGTAAATCAGGGACTTTCTGGTTCCCAATATGGTAGAAGTTTCATCTCTGCATTGCTCTGTATCCATTTTAGCCAATGACTATTAAATGCAAGGTGCGTTGGCTCAGCTTCAAAAAAAGGGCTGGAGAAGAGCCTGGGTAGTGTCTAATGTGGTTTGGTGGTTATAACACTGTGCTGGAAAGTCATGTCTCCCGCTTCCTGAGCATATGCCCTATCCACTCAGCATTGGGGTTAAACATGGAAAATGCCTCCTCCTCTGATATCTAACACCTTAAATGTTTTTGCCTGGCTATATTTTCATGACTTATGGACTAGGGATGTAAATATAATTCGCAAGATTATTTTGATCTCCTCTAATTATATCATAGAATCATAGAAAATTAGGGTTGGAAGGGACCTCAGGTGGTCATTTAGTCCAACCCCCTGTGCAAAGCAGGACCATCCCCCACTAGATCGTTCCAGACAGGGCTTTGTCGAGCCGGGTCTTAAAAACCTCCAAGGAATGAGATTCTACCACCTCTCTAGATAACCTGTTCCAGTGCTTTACCACCCTCCTACTGAGAAGGCTTTTCCTAATATCCAAATTAAACCATGGACAACTGGTGCCTCCTGATACTGGGGGGCACCAGCGGCTAATCACCAACTGGGGTGGGAGGTCCCCCAGCAGCCGATCACCACTGCCAGTGGAAGTACCAGTGGCAAACCCAGAAGTCCCACCGGCACTTCTCTCGGCACGCCCACAATCTCGGGGGGGGCACAGGCCGTTGTGGGCCAGTCTTGGGGGGACACATGTCCCCCCATGCTCCTCCTATGCATCACCTATTGTGGCAACACTTCTACTAATGAAGCCCAGTATTCTGTTTTCCTTCTTGGTAACAAGGGCACACTGTTGACTCACCTTCAGCTTATTGTCCACTATAACCCCCAGGTCCTTTTCTGCAGAGCTGCTGCTTAACCAGTTAGTCCCAAGCCTGTAGGGATACATCATAGTATCATAGTACTTAGAGTCGGAAGGGACCTAAACAGATCATCAGGTCCGACCCCCTGCTCGGGCAGGAACAGGTACCGGGGTCATATTACCCCAGCCAAATATCTGTCCAGCCTCCTCTTAAAGACCCCAAGGTAGGAGAAAGTACCACCTCGGTTGGGAGCCCATTCCAGAGCCTGGCAGCCCTAACTATAAAGTAATGTCTTCTGATGTCCAGCATGAACCTTCTCCCTAACAAGTTGTGGACGTTATTCCTAGTAACCCCGGGTGGTGCCCGGGGGAACAGAGCCTCCCCCAATTCTCGCTGGTCCCCCCTGGTGAGTTTGTAAATGGCCACCAGATACCCTCTCAGCCTTCTCTTGTGGAGGCTGAATAGGTTCAGGCCCTTTAGCCTCTCTTTGTAGGGCCTACCCCACTGCCCCTTGACCATGTGAGTGGCCCTCCTCTGGACCCTCTCAGTGCTAGCTACATCCCTCTTGAAGTGCGGCACCCAGAACTGGACACAGTACTCCAACTGTGACCTGATCAATGCTGCATATAGGGGAAGGATCACCTCCCTGGACCTGCTTGTGATGCATCTGTAGATGCATAACAAGTTGCAGTTAGCCTTACTGACCACTTCCTCGCATTGGTGGCTCATGTTCATCCTGGAGTCAACAATGACTCCAAGATCCCTTTCTGCCACTGTGTTGACAAGAAAGGTTTTCCCCAGCCTATAGATGTGTTGCTGGTTCCTTCTCCCTAGATGCAGCACCTTGCACTTGTCTGCACTGAATTCCATCCTATTCTCATCCGCCCACCTCTGTAATTTGTCTAGATCTAGCTGGATTCTGTCCCTCCCCTCCAGCGTGCCCACTTCGCCCCACAACTTGGTGTATTCAGTGAATTTGGACAGCATGCATTCCACACCCACATCCAGATCGCTGATAAAGATATTGAACAGTACAGGCCCCAGGACGGAGACCTGGGGGACTCCACTGCCCACATCCCTCCAGGTCGAAAATGACCCGTCCACCACTGCTTTCTGGGTGCAGTCATCTAGCCAATTTGCCACCCATCTGACTGTGTAGTCATCAATGCCACAGTCACCAAGTTTTTTTAAGAGAATGTGGTGAGAAACCCTGTCAAAGGCCTTCTTAAAGTACATGGGATTATTCCATCCTAAATGTAGGACTTAGAACTTGTCCTTGCTGAACCTCATGAGATTTCTTTTGACCCAGTCCTCCAATTTGTCAAGGTCACTCTGAATCCTAGCCCTGCCCTCCAGCATATTTACTACTCCCCCACAGCTTGGTGTCATATGTGAACTTGCTGAGGGTGTACTCCATCCCATCTTCCAGATCATTAATGTAGATATTGAGTAAAACTGGCCCCAGGGCTGGCCCCTGGGGCACTCCACTTGGCTGCCAAATACACCTCGAGCCATTGACCACTACCTGTTGAGCCTGACAATCTGCCAGTTTTTTATCCACCTTACAATCCATTCATCCAACCCATATTTCCTTAACTTGCTTGCAAGAATGCTGTGGGAGATGGTATCAAAAACCTTGCTAAAGTCAAGGTATATCACATCCACTGCTTTCCCCAGAGCCAGTCTTCTCATCATGGAAGGCAATCAGGTTGGTCAGGCATGACTTGCTGTGGTGAAATCATGTTGACTGTTCCTGATCACTTTCTTCTCCTCCAGTTGCTTAAAAATGGATTCCTTAAGAACCTGCTCCTTGATTTTTCCAGGGACTGAGCTGAGGCTGACTAGTTCACTGGATCCTCCTTCTTCCCTTTCTTCAAGATGGGTACTATATTTACCCATTGTCCAGGACTTCCCCCAATCGCCACGAGTTTTCAAAGACAATGGCCAGCAGCCCTACAGTGACATCAGCCAACTTCCCCAGCACCCTTGGGAGCATTGCATCCAGCCCCACGGACTTGTACACATTCAGATTTTCTAAATAGTCCTGAACCTGTTATTTCACCACTGAGGGCTGCTCACCTCCACCCAAAACTGTGCTGCCCTGTGCAATAGTCTGGGAGCTGACCTTGCCTGTGAAGACAGAGGTAAAAAAGGCATTGAGTACTTCAGCCTTTTCCTCATCATCTGTCACTAGACTGCCTCCCCCATTCAGTAAGGGACCCACACTTTCCATAATCTTCCTCTTGTTGCTGATATACTTATAGAAACCCTTCTTGTTACCTTTCATGTCCCTTGTTAGCTGTATCTCCAGTTCCGCTTTGGTCTTTCTGAGCACCTATACACGTGCAGTGAGGCTGCTCTGATGCGCTGTAATTACAGCACATTGAAGCAGACTTGGTTCATTCTTCTCATTTGATGAGCTTTAGTTAAAGCACCCTGCTGCCATTTTTCAGTGTGGGGACGCTGGTATATGTGACACTCCGCGCATTTTAATTATGGCGGCTCTTAGAGCCACTCTAATTAAAGCACCTCCTCCTTATTATGAGTATAAACACTCCCTGATTTCATCCCAGCATGCCCAAGCAATATTCTTATACTCCTCCCTAGTCATCTGTCCAAGTTTCCACTTCTTGTAAGCTTCCCTTTTGTGGTTCAGCTCACTGAAGAGTTCTCTGCTAAGCCAAGCTGGCCACCTGCCATAGTTGCTCTTCTTCCTGCACATTGGGTTGGTTTGTTCCTGCACCCTCAGTAAGGTTGCTTTAAACTACAGCCAGCTCACCTGGACTCCTTTCCCCCTCAGACTGGTCTCCCAGGGGATCTTACCCATCAGTTCCATGAGGGAGTCAAAGTCAACTTTTCTGAAGTCCAGGGTCCATACTATGCTGCTCTCCTTTTTTCCTTTTGTCAGGATCCTGAACTCAGTCATCTCGTGGCCACTGCTTCCCAACTTGCCATCTGCTTCTACATCCCCCACCATTTTTTCCCTGTTTGTGAGCAGCAGGTCAAGAAGAACATGGCCCCTAGCTGGTCTCTCCAACACTTGCACCAGGAAGTTGTCTCCAACACTCTCCAAAAACTTTCTAGATTGCCTGCGCACTGCTGCATTGCCCTCCCACAAGCTGTCAGGGTATTGAAGTCCCGCATGAGAAGCAGGGCCTGTAATCTAGAAACTTTTGCTAGTTGTCTGAAGAAAGCCTTATCTACCTCATCCTACTGGTCTGTTGATCTATGGCAGACACCCACTATGACATCACCCTTGTTGCTCTCCCCTCTAACCTTAACCCAGAAACTTTCAACAGACCCACTGCCATGAAGCCAGGAATCTGAACGCCCAGAGAGTCACACCGGTAATCAAAACTAGATTCTCAGTCTCCAGCAGGGAACCTGGGAACCAGGAACCCCTTAACTGGGCTCTCAAGGCCTCTAGGATTCTTCCTATGGAGCTAGGATTTAGAAATTGGAAGTCCAGGGACAGGATCCAAAAGTCTTTGACTCAATTGT